ATTCGCCCAAGGCCAAAGAGCTAATAGTGGAAGAGGGAGGATTTGAACCCAGGGCTGTGAACCTAATGCCCGGCCTTTGTGAGGGACCAGCCCCAGAGGGAGAGCCGCCTTCCCTGTCTATGCCAGCCACAGCATCTGTGTCACTGCAAACTGCTCCTCAAAGGGCCAAGCTCAATATTTTGGTTGGCACTAGAGGTGCATGGGCAGTTAGTGGAGCCAGGAACCCAGGAGGAAAAGGGAAAGCCCAATGGGTGCAGGGCTGGGGGGCGGGGACCTGACCTGCCAGGGCCCCTGGGAAGGAGACAGGGCACCATGTGGAGGAGGAACGGCTCCCCTTCTCCTTTGCCATGGCTGCCCTCTCTGGGCCTCCAGCCCAGCCCAGCCCAGCCCCCAGCAGGCGAGGGGACAGCCACAGCCTCTGGTCCTGGCATTCCTGTCCGTATGGTGGGAGGGTCTGAACACCACTGTAGGATCTCCAAGGGCCTTTCTAGCACTCAGCTTCTAAAACCCTTTAACCACCTGCTCCCTCCTCATCTGAGCAGGAAAGCAGAGAGGGCGCTGCTCAGGGAGGACAGAAGGACAGATCCTAGAGTCTTGCCTGGTCTCAGGGGAACAGCCCCTCCATTCCCAGGACTAATGGCCAGGAGCCCCGAGCCTGCTGCTGGCTGGAGCAGCAGAACCAGGACGAAAGCTGCCGGAAGGCCTGGACAAGGTTAGAGGCCTGGTCACCTGAGCCCTGGGCCAGGGCTCTGTCCCTACCCAGCAGCCTCCACCATCTTTGACAGGGACCAAGGTACTGGGAGTCACGGCCTGGATAACTCACAGTGATGATTCCAGACTCAGAACAAACCCCAAAGCGTCAAAGGCAGAGGGCCACAAGGACGCCTCCCCACAGTGCTCGGAGAACACGGCCTTGGAGTGAGACCAGGGCCGCCCTGTGGTCCTTCCTCACGGCCTTGCCATCCCCTGCTCCCAGTGTGGGTGCGCCCGTGCCCCTCGGGCCTCTGCCCCTGCTTGAGCCTGGAAACCCCTCCCCCCACCCCCCCCACCTCCTTGCAGCAGCCCCTCCTCCAGCAAGCCCTCCCTGCCCGGGCCACGGTCTCCTCCAGGTCCCACAGCTCCTGTGCTTCCTGGGGTCCCAGCACTGATGACTGCGTGGCAGCTTTCAGACAGGGCGGGATCTGAGCGGCACTCTGAAATAAGGGAGGATTTGTAGCACACCAGGCAGAAACAAGGGGGTTCTAGGGGAGGGGACAGCACAGGGAAAGCCTGGTGGCCGGAGGCGTGAGCAGGGCCTCTCCCAGGGCTGAGCTGTTTCCCCAAAAAGCCAACCTGGGGGGAGGACACACAGACGGACACACCACAGGGCTGATAACGGGACTTCCCACTCCCAGGACTACCTAATCCCAAGGCCCGCCCCGCCGCCCTCCAGCACAGCCTCCTGCACTTAGCTGTTGAGGATGCTCGGATTTACCACATTTCCTGAGGCACGGGCCTCATCAGATGGCTTGAACTGAGAGATCTGGGCCCCCATCATCCCACTGTGTGACCCTGAGCCAGTCACTCCACTTCTCTGGGCCTCAGAGAAAACCCTAGATTCGAATGCAATGAGCATAGGTAGGCAGACGCAGGACAGGAAGGAAGTCTGTCACTGAGGCAGCTGCCAGCGGGGAGAGGCTGGGGGAGAAGATGCCAGGAGGGAGGGCTTGGAGGTAAAAAGACAAAGTGGCCAGCCTCCGCCATCCCCCTGTCGTGCCTGCTCATTCTTTGGGGAACAGAATCATTCATGGCTGAGGCTGGGGCTCAGCAGGAGCCCTCAAAGAATCAATCATGCCATAATCAGGGTCATTAATCTCTTTCCATGGTGATGCCGGGGCCTCCTGTTTACCCAACACTTCTGTCCCGAGAGACCTCTGATTGCCCTTCCTCTGGGGAGCAGGCCACATCGCCCGCGGGCTCGCTCCACCAGTTCTGCCCCTCCCCGCTGCCCTCCCGTAGGAAGTGCTCCCTGCTTCTCCCCAGGGAAGGGAGGCTTCCTCCACACTGTGGCCTCTGGTGCCATCTGTCCCATAGCATAGGCCCTTGAGCTCTTTCGGTAAATGTTCACGAAGGCTCCACTATGTGCCAGGCACTGCTGGGAGCCGAGAGAGCCACAGAGAATCAGACACGGTCTTTGCTTTCAAGGAGACAACTTTATCACAGCCACAGCAGCTACAATTACAATGATAACACACACGGTGCTTTGCAGTGTACAGGACCCTCCCCACGTCGGCTCACTGGGGCGTCTGGCCAGCTCCGCAGGTGAGCAGCAGAGCCCCATTTCATGGACGGACAGGGGGGCGAGGCCGGCGGTGGTCAGGATAGGTCTGCAAAGGCGCATGCTTGGTTAAGGGTCTCAGGGGACAGACTCGCCTGTTTGGACGAGTTTGGGGCTAAAGACTGGACAGGAGCCAGGCTTAGGACTCTGCCCAGGAGCCCTGGGTTCTCTTGACACAGAAAGGACCTCTCTTCCCCAAGTCAGGGCTACGAGCTTGGGCAGAGGAGTCACCAGGCGTGCCCTGGCCTTGTCCAGAGAGCAGAGCATCTCAAAACTCAAGACCTCCAGCTGCACACTGAACCAGAGCTTGGTTCACCCTCCCCAAGCACCTCACCCAAGACGCATACAATCGTGGAATCCTGACGCCATCCAGCAGGGACCTTAGAACTACCCCTGGATCTTACAACTATCCCCAGTCATCAACTGTCAGCACCAGGAAAGACCTGAAGCCATTCCATCCGGCCTCCCTTCCTGCACAGCTCCTAGTGGTGGTTCCTCAGCAGAGCAGCCTGCATAGGCTTGCATACTCCCTGTGACGGGCCCCTCCTTCCCTGGAAAGCCAAGTGGTTCCCTCTTTAAGCCAGGACTGTAGGAGGGCCCTCCTGAAAGGAGTGGCCTTTCCTCTGCCACCCTCTCCCCGACTGGAACGGACAGGTTCTCCCTGGAGCAGGCAGAGTGAGCAAATGTCCCCAGGGGCCTCTGGCTGGGCCTCAAGCACCAGCCCTGGGGCCTGGCGAGGGGGGCACTTTCACCATCTTCTCACCCTCGGGTGACGCCCCAGCTCCTCCCAGGAGCCCAGTGATTCAGTCCCAGGGACCAAGCTGGCTTTTTCCAATGCCTCTGCCTGCGTTCCAGGGAAGGGGGGCCGCCTGAACGGGAGGAGGAGAAGGAGGAAGCCGAGTCTGGCAGAGACTTGCATTGAGCAAACTTGTCTCTGCCCAGTTTCTGCCCCCTGAGGGAATGGAAGCAATGATTTATTTTATTTATTTATGTAAAATAGCGGAGTTATTATACAAACAGTCTTCCCAAGCAGGCCCCGAGGGTGGGAAGAGAGCAAGTCCTACCATTTAGGGAATGTTTCTCTTGCTCCCCTCCACTCAGACCTACCTGCCTGGCCTCGCCTCCCCCTGCCCCTCCTTACACTGCTGTGCTCCACACACGTCCCCCCTCAACGCCTTTGCCCCTGCCGGGCCCTCTGCCAGGGAAGCCCCACCCCACCCCCATCCAAACCCCATCCGTCTGAACAAATGGACCCTGTGCGAAGCTCGTTCTGACCCCTACAGAAGCCCACTGCCTCCTCCCTTTGTGCTCACAGCATCTGGCGGAGCTCTCGAGGCATGATCATAGGCCTCTGTGCACGGTAATTACCCGCTTCCGCGGCTGTCTTGCCACCAGGCTGAGCGCTTCCCCAGGCGGAGACGTCTGATCCATTCTGCCAAGCTTTGCTGAAGAGCCAGCGTCCGGGGCCCTGCACTGGGTGAGGGGGACACGAGACACCCCTGGCCCCGTCCCACTAGAGGAGTCACCGTGCAAGGGACCTGCGTCCCTGCCCCGGGCCAGCACCAAGGAGAGGCCCATTTATCTGTCACTCAGAAAAGCTGGTTAAGTGTACAAAGGAAGGCAAGAAGGAACCGATCAGAGCCTCGGAAACCACACGACTGGAGAGTCACTTCACAGCCTGGTCCCAGTTCTGCCTCTGAATAATAATGAGCTTTTTCCCTATTTACGGGAAAAATTAAGCTACTGAAAAAAGTCTCAATGAAGTATTTTCTCCCACAATTTTTTCTTAAACCTCTGATATCTTTGCACCCTTCTGTTCCAGGTCTAGCCGCAGACGACCTCAGATCTAGCACAGAATGCTGATTTCCTCCATCAGTTACAGCTCCCTTCACCACAGTGTTCCAGGCAGCCAGCCGCTCTCCTTCCAGGCAAGGCTGAGAGCCCGGGGCCAGAGCTCTTCTTCCCCTCTTCCAAATTTCCAGGTTTCCCTTTGGTAACCAAAGAAAACCAGCCTTGCTGGAATGCTGAGGAAGGAAGTCCCAGGAGTTGGCTGGCCCAGCACATCTTGAAGGTTCATGCCAATTCCGTGCTTCAAGGCCTCCCATTCCACTCTTTGCTGTTCATTCCTTTGGCTAAAGCATCACTTTCTCTAGGATTCTCTTTTAAAATACCCATCTCCCCTGGAAATGGGGGCCTATTGAACCCCCAATTGGAAGTCAAGGAAACTTAGTTTAATACTTGGCTCTAAGAGGCAGTAAATCAGAGGGATGAGAATGGGCAATGAGAGCCAGACTGCCCGGGTTTGGAACCCAGATCAACCACCTACTAACTGAGCAGGTTAACCACCTACTAACCGAGCAGGTTCCTCAACGCCTCTAGACCTTAGTGGCCTGATCTATAAAGTGAGTGGTGACGGCCCTGAGCTCATGTCGTGAGGATTATGTGAGTGAATACGTGCCAAGGGCTCGGACAGGTGTCAGGTGCACTGGAATAAGCCAGAGACCCCCCACGCAGAGCCTCAGTTTGTTCTTGCCTATAAAATGGGCCAATAATCCCTGTTCCTCCCGCCTTTCTTGGTAAACTGTGGAGTGCTGCCCCCATGGGAGAGGCAGACACTGTTTTAGAACCCAGTGGGCTGCTCTCTGTAGCTTGTCTCTAACTTCTTTCTCCCCCGACTTCCTACCTTTTTTCTTTATCTGGAAGAAGGTACCAGTGGCTGTGAGCTGGGCTCCCAGGGGTCCACGGAGGTGGTGATGTCACTTCACTGGGCCAGCTGAGGGGAGAAGGGGACAAACCCAGTCAGATCACTCATCAGTTCACCTGCCTTCTCACCTCCCACCTGACCCTTAGTGAGTGCCCACCCCGTGCTGGGTGTGGGCCCAGGGCTGGCTCACACCTAGTCTCAGCCCTGGAGAAGCTACCAAGCTGGCGGGCAAGCCAAGCCGACACAGGTGATCCAGCGGTGGGCCATGAGACCCCGCACACGCAATCCCACCTCCACATACGCTGCCCACAAACAGCCCCATCCCAAACCAGTATGACCTGCTCCCTGAACCATTCTTGTCCCCTCCAGGACCCACAGAAACGTGACCCAAGGCCTAGCCCCCCTGGGGTGAAACCTGGGGCTGCGCCTGGCTCCTGGGGGGCAGAGGCCCCTTCGTGCTGTCCAGGGACCTGCTTCTCTGGAGGTAGCCGCCAAACCAGCTGTTCTTCCAAAGCAGCCGCAGAGGGAGGGCCGGTGGGCTGGAGGCGGGATCTGGGGCACCGCAATTATATGGCTGACTTCTGACTCATGCACCGCCTCCCCCATCACCAGCTCCTATAGCCAGCAGGGCAGCCCTCCTGCCCTGGAACTGGGGGGAGAGATGGCACCACAGGCCACGGGGAGAGGGGAGGAGGGGAGGGGCTCTGGGTCAGCACTGCAGGCTTCAGAGGATGCTGCCACATTGCCTTCTAGGGGACACTGAGGCTGGCGGGGTCAGGGGCCAGAGAGTTAGAGGCAGAGCCAGGGCTGGGACCCAGGCCCCCTGGTACCCTGCAGACCCAGGGCAGCAGTGGCTCAGCCCTGGTGCCCAGCCCAAGCCCATGCCAACACGAGAACTCTCTCCAACCCAGTGGGCCCTGGAGCCACACACCAGCCAGAAACACAGAGCCAAGACTCAGCCTCACTGGAGGCGGACGGGGCTGGGCTCAGAGACAGCTTGGAAATGACATCCCGTTACTGAGCGATGGATCCCTAGGGCACCCCAAGCCCTGCCTCCCTCCACCTGCAGTCCCCGGGTTTCTCATAGCGCCCTGAATACACTGCACTTTACAGCTTACAAAAAACCTTACTTCTTTCACCTCCCACAGTGATCCTGGGGCCTCAGTGAGAGAGGGAAGATAAACAGAGCAGGGCTTCTCCAGCTTCAGTGTGCAAACCAATCAACTGGAGGTCTGGTTAAAGTGCAGTCTCACTCGGTAGGTCTAGGCTAGGGCCTGAGATCCTCTGTTTCTGACAAGCTCTCAGTTGATGCTGATGCTGCAGGTCTAAGGACCACAATTTGAGCAGCAAAAACATAGCTGTTAACAGCATGGGTGCTGGAGTCAAAGTGCCCAAGTTAGAATCTTGGCTCTTACTGTGTGACCTTGGACAAGTTACTTAACCTCTCTGTGCCTCAAGCTCTTTATATATAAAATAATAATAATAATAATAATACAACCTGCCCTACATGGTTGATGTGAAGATTACATTATGTAAAACGCTTGAAGTGATTATTATTATATCTTTTTTTTAACCTTTTTTTCCTAAAGATTTAATTTTTTCTTTTTCTCCCCAAAGCCCCCAGGCACATAGTTGTATAAGCTTTTAGTTGTGGGTCCTTCTAGTTGTGACACGATGAGCAGTGCCATGTCTGCGCCCAGGATCCAAACCGGCAAAACCCTGGGCCACTGAAGCGGGGTGCGAGAATTAACCACTCAGCCACGGGGTCGGCCGCCCATTATTACTATTTCAAATTTAAAAATGGAGGCTCTGAGAGGTGGACACATCCAGCAAGATGGTAGAGCCAGGACTTAAACCCAAATCTCCTAATGTAAATCCTTCGATCCCAAAGCTGCCCCAAAATGTCACAGCCAGAAAGCCCTGCTCTGGGCACGAATATTGAGGCCCAGAAAGGGGTGGAGAGCTGACCAGTTCATGAGAAAGTTGGTGTCAGAAATCCAAGTTCATGACTCCCAGCCTAATGCTCTTTCCATCACACCTCACTGTCCTTCTCTAAGGAAAAGAAAGTATCACAAATTCTCCCTGAGGGGTCCCAGCTCTGCTGTCGGCCCCATCTCGGCAGCAGCCACCCTGGAAAGCGGATGTGGGAATGGCTGGATGTGGAGGCCCCCGTGGCCACCTGGCCGGGGTCCCAGCTCTCGCAGAGCCCCGCCCATCAGGCTGGGTGAGGACAGTCCAGCATCCTCCTTCCATCTCCCTCTCCTACCTCCAGTCTGTGGCACTGCTCCGTCTCAAGGTCACCCAGCTGGGGTCGCAGGCAGAAGGTGACAGGGCCCAGGCCCGTCTCAACCCCCACCTTGGCTTCCCAGCACGCGGCCAGTGGGAGCCTGTGAGTCACTTGAAGGAAGTGCTTGGCCCCAAACAGGAAGTGGCTGTTCGAGCAGAAACCCCTGCAGGATCTCCCCAGAGCCCTATGGCAGGTGCCTGGGGCAGCAGAGTCTGAGGAAGGAAGGGAAGCTGATTGGGACACAGCAACACCTCTTCAGATTTTACCTGAAACTCAGTCATGACACCCATCCTCTGCACTGTGAACCGGCCAGCGGGTTTCTCTGCTGTGTGATCTCAGGCACATGAGTGCCCTTCTCTGAGCCTCAACTCTCTCATCTGTAAGATCATGGGGCTGCACTACAAGACTGCTATGGCCGCACATTCTACAATAAAATGAGGGACTGGAGGAAGTGAATACAGGTTCTAAATAAATGAACAAATGTACATACGAATGGAGTGAATGAGTGAATGCAGATCCCAGATTTAAACTCCAGCCACAGCAGAAGCTCCATCATCCATCTGTTGTTAGCGGTACGACAGAGATCTCATTGGCAAGAAGACCCACCCCTGAATCACCCTTAGGTGCAGGGAAGCAGCGCCCCTGCTCTGAGCCCCACACATCACAACACACGCTCACAATACACCTATCAGAGAACCTACAGGAGCCCCTGTCCCACGACATCCAGGGGACCTGCAAGCCTAATGCTGCTCCCCTAACACCACTCAGGCCCCAGCGAAACTCTTCTCCATTTCTTGGGCTTGAAGAACAAAAGGTGATTCTGTCCGGAGTTGGGGAGGCGGGGGGGGGGGGGGGGGGGGGGGGGGCGACGCTACTGGGGGGGGAGGGGCGGTGGGCGAGAACGTTTGCGGGGGGAGGGGGCAGACAAATTAAACTCATCAAATCCTTTCAGAGTGCAACACGCAACAGCTTCTTGCATAACCAAGTATCCGCTTCCCAGTAATGCTGAGCATCCTCTTTTTCTTGGCTTTTCTCCCTGTTCCAATCTGTGGTTCTAAAAGTACTCCTCATGAATTAGCGTGGTATTCACAATAAATGCACACGGCGGCTCAGGAACATCCTACAGTATTTAATAATTCACATTATTCAAACTAATGTAGCATGAAGTGTGATATTAATTCTTGATACTGGAGCTGGATGTACATTAAATACTGGAACTGTGAATAGTTTCATTTTTATACAGTCTCCAAAAATTTGAATATTTCATCTCTATTGAAATAATTTTATTTTAAAAATCTGATATTCATTAATTATGATGTGTATAGTTTCAACTCCCACAGATAATTTCAAGGAATAAAAACAATTTTTGAAAATATAAATTTTCTTTTCCACACATTTAATTTACAATTTTGATGGAAATATATTCAAATTCTATGCACTTTAAATACAATGGCATCTTAGTTTGATCCTTTAGATTATTACCATCAATACACAATTTTCAGATGATGTGGAAATCTTGACTATAACAATATAATTATAATGATCTTGCTGAAATGAAGACAATAAAATATTTTATAAAATAAACAATAATGTATGAATAAGTCTTACTACTCATCTGAACATCACCAGCCCAAGAAGAAAACACCAAGAAAACAGATGTGTCATAATAATTAAATTGTCTTCCTTGATATCTTGTCACTTTCATTCATATAAAACCGTAACTTTACATGTATATTTCAATTTACATTATAAAGATACATTTGTCAAGATGGGAAAAGCAAACCATTTTACTTAATAGTTTCTGTGTTTGTGTTATAATCTTCAGATATCTGACAAAGATAAAAGGCCTCTATTTGTATTTCTGTCCTGGGCCCTGCAAATTTGAGGCGGGGCCTGCCTGTCCACTCCCTGCCCACCAGCTCTCACTTTTGTGGGGCGCCGGCCACCTGTGCTGGTCACTTCACCTCACTGAGCATCAGCAGGGCTGCCAGGCCCTCTGGCTTCCCCAGAGGCTGCCTTTTAGAAAGTGTTCTACACTGAAGCTTAGCTGTGGGCCTGATTTCCAGAGCCGGCTTGAATGCCCTCAAGGGCAGTGACCACGACTTGACTCCCACAGACCCCCACAGACCCGGTGCTCTTGGAGTCCCTTGTACCCCAGCAGCATCTCTGAGGGGACCTGGATGGGAGGGCCCAGCAGCCTCTGACCCAGGAGGCTGGCAGCCCCCAGCCATTAGGCTGAGTGAATGGACCTAATGACCTGTGGCTCCTACAACTGGTTTCCTCCTCCTCTGCACCCCTACTCAGTCCACCTCTACCCATGCCCCCTGCCCCCTCACTCTGAGCCTGCTGGTCACAGTGACCCCCTTTGGGCTAAGGCCACCAGACATGTGACCAATCCTCACATTCCCTGCCCACCGCCCTTCCTAGCATCTTTCACAGAGCTGCCAGAGCACAGGAGCGTCGAGGAGAGCACGAGACCGAGGGCCAGGAGATCGAGTCCCGGCCCTGGCTTAAAAGGCAAGTCAGCGTCCTCAGGTGCCAGATGGGGACACTGCAACCAGCTCAGACTGCCTCGTGGGATGACTGGGAGAATCCAGTGAGCAGGACATGACAGGGCTTTGTAAACTGTAAAGTGCTGAATGATGTGAGGGGGGCCTAACCCTACCTCTCTTGTGTTTCCTACTCCACCTGGTGCATGCCGAGTCCATCCACTATGGTGCTGCCCACCATTTCCCGAGGGCTGGCCATAGCCCCATATGAAGCCAACATTCTCTGTCTGTTC